GACCCATGCTTGATGCCGTCAATTCACCAATAAAATTTTAAGTTCACTTGGTGTAATTCAAGATTATTTTCTTTAAATCAACACTGCACTGCACTGCACTATATATTATCAATATGTTAATTAAAGTTCAGAATGACCAATAATTTCAATGAAAAATGCAAAAATATTCAAGACACCAACAAAATACAGGTAGTTGCTCTTTCCCTGGTTTCAAAACTCAACTGATGCCTTGTGACCTACTCACGCATCTGATGGGCATGCAACAAACTAGTTCCCTGTACTGCATATATTATCAATATGTTAAATAAATGTTAAAATGACTAATAATTTTAACATAAAACATGCAAACATATTAAAGAGCACAACTTTATTGATATTTACTCCATTGGAAACGAATGTAAACATAGAACAGATTACTGAATTGGCAGAGTACCCCATCAGCTGATCAGCTGATGCTCACAACAAAACGTGATTTCCGTAAGGATTTCGTGAATCAAATTTTTTTTAGTTAACCTAATTGAAGATTCTTATAGAAGGTAATTCGTTAACCGAAATTTCGTAAACCGAATTGTTTGTTAACCGAGGGACCACTGTACTTGCATTCCCAAAATAACACCTCGTTATAGAAAAAACACATTGTACTACAGTGGTCCCTCGGTTAACGAGCGCCTCTGTTAACGAGATTTCGGTTAACGAGTTACCTCCCATAAGATTCTTAACTTCGGTTAACGAGCAATCCCTCGGTTAACGAGTTTCTTATGAGCCGACCTCAACAAGTTTTGGCTTGCACTTGGCGGTCAACCAGCTTTAGTATTAGTCCGCCAATACAGTAATCGGTTCTAGGGCTTAAATTCCTTACTATTTTAGTAAATATCAAGAAGTTTAATATTCAATAATTTTAAAAGTTTAATATTAAATTTTTTAGTCATTTTAACAATTATTGAACATAATTGAAGGTAAAGTGACTAGTTTTATGCGCGCCATCCAGCCTCTTAACACAGCAAACAAGCGTTAGTCTCTCTGTTTTCAGTGGAGGGAACATCTTGCTTGAGACTCTCTTCAACTAAATGATTTTTTCTGTGTTTCCAAGCAAATTATTGGTCATTTTGAAATTTATTTTACATATTGACAATACAGTATATAGCGCAGTGCAGTGTTATTTTAAAGAAAATATTCTTTATTTACAGCAAGTTTATAATTAAAAGATCACATGTTGACATTGTTTAAATCCAGCATGGGGCCTAAGAGATCAAGAAAAGCGATTTCAATCCAAACCAAGCAGGAAATTATAAAAAAACATGAACAAGGCATTAGAACAAATGCGCTATGCAAAGAATATGGCATGTCGATATCAACTGTGTCGACAATTCTTGCACAGAAAGACAAATTTAAAGAAGTGAAAGTGAGAGACAAATCTACAAGAGTGTTTAAAAGTAGATCCCTAATTGCAGTAGGGAAAAACAGATGAAAGGTGATTCAGTTTCTACTGAATTCATTTGTGAAAGAGCCAGGGAGATTTACGAACATTTAAAGACAGATCAACCTGGTTCTTCAGGCACAGAATTTGAAGATTTTTGGGCCAGCAAAGGCTAGTTCGAAAAATTTAAGAAAAGAAGTGACATTTTCAGTGTTGTTAGGCATGGTGAAGCTGCTAGTGCTGATAAGGAAGGGGCAGCAAAGTTTTTAGTTGAATTTAAAGAACTGATGGAAGAAGAAAATTATCTTCCACAGCAAGTGTTCAATGTGGACGAAACTGGGCTGTTCTGGAAAAAGATGCCCAAAAGAACATTCATCACCAGAGATGAAGCCTCTTTACCTGGGCATAAACCCATGAAAAGCCATCTCACTCTATTGCTTGGTGCCAATGCTTCAGGGGATTTCCGACTGAAGCCTATGCTTGTCTACCACTCTGAAAACCCCAGGGTGTTCAAGCAACAGAAAGTGGTAAGAACAAAGCTTGGCGTTTATTGGAAGTCCAACCGTAAGGCATGGGTGACAAGACAGCTCTTTAATGAATGGGCTGTTGATGTGTTTTGCCCTTGTGTCAAGAGCTACCTAACCACCAATAAACTCCCTTTAAAGGCTCTTCTCCTCATGGATAATGCTCCTGGTCATGACCCTGAACTTGCCAGAAATTTGGAGTATCAATTTGACTTTGTGAAAGTGTTGTTTTTGCCTCCAAACACTACATCAATCATACAGCCAATGGACCAGAATGTGATCAGCAACTTCAAGAAATTGTACATGAAGAAAATGTTTAGGAGGTGTCATCAGGCAACTTCCAATGATCCTGAACTAACACTGAAACAGTTCTGGAAGACACAATTCAACATCCTGGAGGCTGTAAAATTGATTGTGTCATCATGGCAAGAAGTCTCCACTAGATCCCTCAATTCTTCATGGAAAGCACTGTGGCCATCAGTAGTCCATGATTTTGAGGTATTTGAGGAAGAAACAGAGTTGGACCAGGAGATTGTGTCCATTAGTCAGTCATTGGGTCTTGAAGTGGAGGAGGAGAATGTGGAAGAGCTTGTGATGTCTCATGAGGAGGTACTTACTCCTGATGACTTGAAGCAACTGGATGAGATGTTACAGGTAAAGGCTGACAGTGGTGAGGAGGAAATTGAAAGTGATGACCATATGTCAACTAAAGAGTTGAAAGATGTGATTTACCACTTGGAGAAGTTCAGGGAACTGGCTTCGAAGCACCCAGATGTGGAAAAAACTGAACTAACTTTGTGTCATGTTGAGGACTCACTGGTCTCCTTCTTTAAACATAAGTTAATGGTGAGGAGGAGAGAACACAGACCACAATTGACACTTTCTTCAATAAAAGGCAGAGGGAACAAGATGCTATCCCTCTGCCTTCCACTTCAAGAAGGAGAGAGGATGATGCTAGCCCTAAGCCTTCCACTTCAAGAAGGAGAGAGGATGTTCATGGTGGAGAATCTGTCAGTCCAGAGGTTCCTGACATTTTCATGGAAGGTGACTCACCTTCCAAGAAGCAGTAAAATGCTTCTCTTCCACCTCCACTTCCTTCTCTTCTCCCTTCTCCTCCTCCACCTCCCACTTCAAATTCACATCATCATCATCCAGGAGCCTTCTACATACACACCTCAAAGCAAGTGAACTTTTCTACCTTTTTTGTTGAATTTAGGCAATTTTCGGCGAGCTGGAACCAATTACCCAAAACCCATTGAAACAATGGTTTCAGTTAACGAGATTTTCGGTAAACGAGCAACCTGCTGGAACGGATTGTGCTCATTAACCGAGGGACCACTGTAACCATTGATTCAATAGGAATTAAGGGGTTATGGGGTAATAGGTTTGAGAACACCAACATGACTGACAAATTTTCTTTACAGTTTCTTATATTATTGTTAGTTTTTATGTGTTCTTTTATAATTCCTGTGTTTTAGTTTTATGATCATATTCATTAATAGAATAAAAACATGTAAAGGGGGAAAACTGCTAGTTACAGTGTGTTAGTCTACTTTGTTACGCTATCGAAACCGGAGCCATGGAGGAGGGTGCAGAACGAAAATGATGAAATAATATGTAGTAGAGTCTGACTTGCTTTTAATGATAAAACCCTTTGAAATCATAACATTTTTAACCATAAGAAATTTATATAAACTTATAAAAATGTTTTAACGCTCACCACAAGAAGAGCAGATGGTTGTTTTAGACTAGTGGTGGAGGAGATGGAATCATCTGACAATGGAGGTCAGTTTTATCACATCTAGTGTTTGTTCAAGAGTAGTAATGTAATAGCTTTTCTTCATTTTACTTCACTTCCACTCCCAGAATGCTTCATACCTTTGCCACTCATTGAAATTACTGTAATAGGAATAAAGTTGATAAGTACTTTTCTAAGACAAAGCACAGTTCTCCATAACACATCTGATGCATATGGAAGAAAGACAAAGACTGTGGGGATGGCGCATCCCACCTTGTGTAATGCTACACCAAGGTGACCGCACAACCGCTTATTCCTACTTGAGTAGCATAGTTCTTTATACTCACGAATATTACAGTAAACCCTCAATAACTCGGCACATTTGGGGCTCTGGCTTTGCCGAGTTATCCCAAATTCCAATTTATCGTGGCACTTCCCCCTTCTACAAAAATAAAATAATAACAAAATATCGACCCATGTGTACAATGAAAGACAAAAGTCGTGTTGTGAAATTTGGTGAAAACATATGCCGAAGGGCTAAAACTTTTGGTGCACTCTGCCTTGTGGTAGGGGGCTCTCATAATGTTTCACAAGTTATATTTAATCTTCGGACAAAACCATGACACAACTTTTGTCTTCGATTGTACATGTAATTAATAATGTAAAAAGGTAACACTTAACAGCACTGCAGGCAAAGAATGAAGCATTATTCTAGGTGACACAGAGGCATGGTAGGTAATGCAGGTGGCCAGATATGCCGAGATTTTCCCAGATAATTTTATATATCTCAGTATTTCCCGGGTTATACTATAATATATTCAGAGACCATATCCATGCCGAGTTATCAAATGCTAAGTTATTGAGGGTTTACTCTATATTACTGTATACAGTATGTTCCATCATGTACAGTATATATAGTTTTGTTAAATTTTGTTGAAAATTGCAAAACTAGCTTCATTTATAAGGACCTATTGGTATGAAAGGAAGTCTGTAAATGGCTGTAACTCTGGTGAAAATTAATACAACATATAAGAGGTTTTTTAACAATACATTACAGTACAATATTTGTATCTTCAGTTAGTGCCTAACATCCGTGCAAATTTTGTTGAAAACTTAACGACTAATTAGTGCAAAATTTGTCTAAATAGACTGATGAACAAAGGAATTTTTGATGGATATAAAATTAAGAGCCCTTTTATTTTGACGGTTCCCTCCCAGCATGACTAAAACCATAATAAATCCGTGTTATATGGTTTATATTCAGGGAAACTACATCTTTGGTACCTCCAGTTATTTTATGTGAAAAATAAATGTATTGCAGATCTATTGGTGCCTCAGAGATGGAGGAACGCACTGATGAATTTGGGATGAAGCATCGTTTTTTATCTGGAGCAGGATTTGTGAAGCAGTTTATGGATACTTGGTAAGTGTAATCTACTGTACACTCTTAGTAGCCCACTGTATATTTTTTCATTGTAGAGGCACGCCCCAATTTAAAAAGGTTTCCATTCCTAAAAAGCCTTTCGTGAATTGATTTTTCATAAATCTGATCACATTTTCCCATAGACTTTCATTATAGATTATGAGATATGTTCTTTACAAAAAGAGATAGATAAATATATAAATAAAATAATATAAAATACTACAAAACATGTATTCCATGATAATTTTTGGTGTACACAATAATTGTAAGCTAGAACTAAACACAATAAGCGAAATACAGTCATCCCTTGGTTATCATGCCTCATTGGGACCGCGCCAAGTGCGTGATAACGAAAAATGTGAAAACGAAAGTACAGAACCTATGGGATTTATTCTAATTGGTTCCAGGCACCCAAGACCCAACCCCAATTTTCCCATTTTTGACCATTTAGACCCACTAAAGATATAGATAATGTTATGGTAAGTATCAGAAACTCACACAGGCATGGCTAGGTTTATTACAAAGAGATGAAAAGGGTACGCTCAATACTGTAGTCCACAAAACATGTAGCTATGCTTTCTTTATTTGAATCCCCTGTCTGAGGAGTCCGTTTTCTCATCGCTTCAGGACGCCTGAGTCCTCCGTTTTCTCTCAACCTTAGAGTGCACCCGAGACTTCGTTATTCCTTAGTAATGACACAGAATTTGAAATTGCAACTGGGGTTGCAATTGTTGAGGCAACTTAGATATGTCTGATTACAGCAAATGTGTTATTGTCAATTTGTAGTTGAAAGATTTTATCCTCAATAGATGTAGGTGAAGCAAATGGGTAAAAACACCTGGAGGCAACTGCGTGATAACGAAATTCTCGGCTTGAAAAATGCACTATAACAGCAGGTATGCAGATTTTGATGGAGGCATGATAACGAAAATCGCGATAACCAAGTGCGCTATAACCAAGGGATGACTGTACTTCATATTAACCCTTTGAATGCTGGATTAATTCACTTAACCCCTTTCAGTTGTTGGGAGGATTCCGTGAATGGTATGATTTTTTTTTCTATCTTTAGAAAGGAAGGTGCTGTGTATGTAATATAAAACTATTTTTTTACTAAATCTGTGTTATTGTAATTTTGGGCCTCTGGAACCTAATTATTTATTGCCATTTAAATTAATTGAAATACTGTAATTTGCAATTTGATAATTGAAGACATCTCCTGGGACCTAACCTGTGAATTATCATGACTCCACTGTACAGGCATCCCATGATTTACGATGGGGCTACATTCCTGAAAACCCCATCACAAATCGAAATGTTGTAAATCAAGTTCATTATAACATGATGAGGGTTGAATGGGATACGTTCCCAGCCAGTCTGACACATACACTTGTATTATCGGAAAAAAAATCCTATACTATTAAATAGAAAACAATTAAACAACACTGACCACATGATTAAGATCAAGCCTGGCCACTTCACCTCCAGAGATACGGTTTTCCTGAGAACCTGGCCTTCCCAGATGCAGGAACCTTCAGCAACATCTTGCTGGACATTTTCAAAATTACACTGCTCACTTCACAGTTACAAAAGCAGAGCAAAAGGTTTTTCCAATCACAGTAAATGTGAGGAATAAATAAAAAAAATATAAATAAATACAGGCATCCCCGTGTTACGGAATCCCGGGCTACAGAGTTTTTTAAATTATGACCTGAAATTTGGAATACGGAAAAAAATCGCCCTTGTGAAATTTTGATAAATTTTTTAATTAAACAAAAATTGCAGTTTTTAACCCAAATATTTACCCAAATTGTAACAATTATTTCCTGTTGATTCTCTGTGGCAGCCACAAGGTGGTTGGAAGGTCGCTCACTTCCCCAGTTGCCAGTTATGTGTCTGTGTTCAGAACTGTATTCACCCTTACGGAATTATGGTTAATTTATTTTGATTTTTAAAAGAAAAATTGCAATACAGTACTCCCTCTTTATCGACGGTTTCGATTATCGACGGATTATTTAGACGGATTTTTATTTTGGCTTTATTTGAACTCTGCGGGCCTTGTTTGTACTTTCGCCGCTAGGCGGCACTAGTGGCGTGACTTGTATATACTGTACACTGTATTGTTTACTGTAAGGACCGATGTTCACTTCAATAAATGAAATCGTAAGTTTGCTAGTATTTTTGTCCACTTATTATATTATTATTTATACACTATTATTTAAGGTTATGTGTAAAGGAAACGCATTAATGCTTAAAGGTACATTTATTCAACATATGCTAATAATAGTTAGAAAAATTACGTAACCATCACGGTATCGACGGTTTCTTTATCGACGGCCGTCTACAGAACGTAACCCCGTCGATAAAGAGGAAGTACTGTGCCTTATAACAGAAAATTTCACCAAAATTTTAAAATTTATTTCCTGTGGATTCTGGTGGTAGCTACATGACCGCTGGCTGGTGGCTCAGCTCTCCAGTTCGGAGCAGCCACCACAGCAACAAAGGCACTGATCATCTTAATTCTTTCCCCAGTTTGTGTTCAGTTATATGTCTGTATTTACGGTGTACCCTTATCCAAGATGAGTGGAAAAAGATCATCATGTTCAAGTTAAAGCAGTGGTGATTAAAGATTCCATAAAGGAAATGAGTTAGACATTGTTGGACATTAAACTTGATGTTTTAAGGAGGTAACCCCGATTGCACCACCTCAAGTGTTTTGTGCATTTATTATCATGTCTTATTTTCATACATACTGTATATGTGCTTGAGTTACGTTTTTGGACCTTAAAAAATTTCTGTTGGAACGCTTCTCAACTTAAATACAGTGACCCCTCCGTTAACGAACTCATTCCGTTCCAGAAGGTCGTTCGTTAACCGAAAAGTTCGTTAACCGAAACCATTGTTTCAATGGGTTTTTGGGTAATTGGTTCCAGCCCACCGAAAATTTCCTAAATTCAACAAAAATGGTAGAAAAGTTCACTTACTTTGAGGTGTGTTCATAGAAGGCTCTTGGATGTTGATGATGATGATGGGATTTAGAATGGGGGTGGAGGAGAAGGAAGAAGAGAAGGCATTGGGGTGGAAGAGAAGTCACCCCATGGTGCCATTTCACCCATAAAATTTTAGCTCTCTTGGTGTAATTCAAGATTATTTTCTTTAAATCAACACTGCACTGCATTATATATTGTCAATATGTAAAATATATTTCAAAATGACCAATAATTTGCTTGGAAACACAGAAAAAAAGCGTTTAGTTGAAGAGAGTCTCAAGCAAGATGTTACCTCCAGTGAAAACAGAGAGAGACTAACACCTGTTTGCTGTGTTAAGAGGCTGGATGCCACGCATTAAACTAGTCACTTTACCTTCAATTATGTTCAATAATTGTTAAAATGACTAAAAAATTGAATATTAAACTTTTAAAATTATTGAATAGTATAAACTTCTTGATATTTACTAAAATAGTAAGGAAATTAAGCCCTAGAACCGATTAATGTATTGGAGGACTGATACTAAAGCTGGTTGCCCGGTCAGTGCAAGCGAAAACATGTTGAGGTCAGTTCGTAAGAACTTCGTTAACCGAATTTTTTTTCGTTAACCGAATTGAAGATCCTTATGGAAGGCAGTTCGTTAATCGAAATTACGTTAACCGAGGTGTTCGTTAAACGAGGGGTCACTGTAATGAGTCAATGGGAAAAATGGTTTCGCGTTGCGGAATTTCATAATGCGGAAATATTTTTAGGAACAGAACCCTTCCGTAACCTGGGGGATGCTTGTAAAACAAAAGAAAAAATACTGCATTGCCATTTGGGACACGATACAGAGAACAGCCAAGATATCCCCCCCCCTCACCTCTCCCCCTTCCCCTTCCCACTCTGAGGGCTGACCCCAGTGCACATAAGAAATGTTTATTCCCTGTATGTTTTTGGCTTTATGATATAATTATTATTATTTTGCATATTTTGTATGTATGATTGTGTGTATGTAACAGTAAAAAACAAAAATATTTTTAGCTACCTGAAATAATAGGTTTGAAAAGAATAATAATGAAGTCCACAGCTTGGCCTGGTAGGGGGAGGCTGAGGTCTTGACACTGCACCCCTCTCCTGCTGCTATCATTGTTTTTACATTATCATCATTCGCTCTATTTTTGTGACTGTCATGCGAGCAGTGTAACTTTGAAAATGTCTGGGAAGGCCAAGACACCTAGGAAAATCATGTTTCTGGAGGTAAAGCTTGACTTCCCAGGGGTTGTGTGTGAGTCAGAGTGACATCTCCACAGAAAATTTCACCAAAATTTTAAAATTTATTTCCTGTGGATTCTGGTGGTAGCTACATGACCACTGGCTGGTGGCTCAGCTCTCCAGTTCGGAGCAGCCACCACAGCAACAAAGGCACTGATCATCTTAAATTCTTTCCCCAGTTTGTGTTCAGTTATATGTCTGTGTTACGGTGTACCCTTATCCAAGATGAGTGGAAAAAGATCATCATGTTCAAGTTAAAGCAGTGGTGATTAAAGATTCCATAAAGGAAATGAGTTAGACATTGTTGGACATTAAACTTGATGTTTTAAGGAGGTAACCCCGATTGCACCACCTCAAGTGTTTTGTGCATTTATTATCATGTCTTATTTTCATACATACTGTATATGTGCTTGAGTTACGTTTTTGGACCTTAAAAAATTTCTGTTGGAACGCTTCTCAACTTAAATACAGTGACCCCTCCGTTAACGAACTCAATCCGTTCCAGAAGGTCGTTCGTTAACCGAAAAGTTCGTTAACCGAAACCCTTGTTTCAATGGGTTTTTGGGTAATTGGTTCCAGCCCACCGAAAATTTCCTAAATTCAAAAAAAATGGTAGAAAAGTTCACTTACTTTGAGGTGTGTTCATAGAAGGCTCTTGGATGATGATGATGATGATGGGATTTAGAATGGGGGTGGAGGAGAAGGAAGAAGAGAAGGCATTGGGGTGGAAGAGAAGTCACCCCATGGCGCCATTTCACCCATAAAATTTTAGCTCTCTTGGTGTAATTCAAGATTATTTTCTTTAAATCAACACTGCACTGCATTATATATTGTCAATATGTAAAATATATTTCAAAATGACCAATAATTTGCTTGGAAACACAGAAAAAGGTTTAGTTGAAGAGAGAGTCTCGAGCAAGATGTTACCTCCTGTGAAAACAGAGAGACTAACACCTGTTTGCTGTGTTAAGAGGCTGATGCCACGCATTAAACTAGCTTCACTTTACCACCTGCGTTCAATAATTGTTAAAATGACTAAAAAATTGAATATTAAATCCTTTTAAAATTATTGAATAGTATAAACTTCTTGATATTTACTAAAATAGTATGAAATTAAGCTTCCTAGAACCGATTAATGTATTGGAGGACTGATACTAAAGCTGGTTGCCCGGTCAGTGCAAGCGAAAACATGTTGAGGTCAGTTCGTAAGAACTTCGTTAACCGAATTTTTTTTCGTTAACCGAATTGAAGATCCTTATGGAAGGCAGTTCGTTAATCGAAATTACGTTAACCGAGGTGTTCGTTAAACGAGGGGTCACTGTAATGAGTCAATGGGAAAAATGGTTTCGCGTTGCGGAATTTCATAATGCGGAAATATTTTTAGGAACCGAACCCTTCCGTAACCTGGGGGATGCTTGTAAAACAAAAGAAAAAATACTGCATTGCCATTTGGGACACGATACAGAGAACAGCCAAGATATCCCCCCCCTCACCTCTCCCCCTTCCCCTTCCCACTCTGAGGGCTGACCCCAGTGCACATAAGAAATGTTTATTCCCTGTATGTTTTTGGCTTTATGATATAATTATTATTATTTTGCATATTTTGTATGTATGATTGTGTGTATGTAACAGTAAAAAACAAAAATATTTTTAGCTACCTGAAATAATAGGTTTGAAAAGAATAATAATGAAGTCCACAGCTTGGCCTGGTAGGGGGAGGCTGAGGTCTTGACACTGCACCCCTCTCCTGCTGCTATCATTGTTTTTACATTATCATCATTCGCTCTATTTTTGTGACTGTCATGCGAGCAGTGTAACTTTGAAAATGTCTGGGAAGGCCAAGACACCTAGGAAAATCATGTTTCTGGAGGTAAAGCTTGACTTCCCAGGGGTTGTGTGTGAGTCAGAGTGACATCTCCACCCCACCTTCTTGAGTCCCCTCTCCCTCAAAGGCGACATGTGATGACGACCAGGATGTGGTGAGTGTTGTTTAATTGTGTTTTACGTATATTATTGTTGTAGGAATTTTATTTTCAATGATACATGTGGGTGTTGGACTGGTTGGGAACTCATCCCATCGAACCCCATAATTTAATGTTCCCTATTTATGATATTTTGACTTACACTGGGTCTTTCAGGAACATAACCCCAGCGTAAATCGGAGGATACAGTAATATCTCCATTAGCCGGAATCTCTCAAACCCAGAACTCTCCTATAGCTGGAATTGAAATTTTCTCGGAAAATCGTTGCTGGTTTTGGGAACGATTTTCCGGAAGATTCCGAGAAAATTTTCCTGATACCCGGAAAAATCCGGGGATGGGGGAGTTTTTTCTGGGTTTGAGAGATGAAAATCAGACACTTTTTCTGGAAATTCCGGACAAAATTTCCGTTACCCGGAAATTTCCGGTGTTGAGGGATTTTTTCCAGGTTCGAGTTATGGTGTAATGGGCAATTTCTGGAACTTCCGAGAAAATTTTTCCGTTACCCTGAAAATTCTCGGGATTAGGAATTTTTTCTGGCTTTGAGAGAGTCATCTCATTACCCGGAAATCTCTCATACCCGGAAGTGTTCTGCACCAATTGTTCCGGCTAACGGAGATATCACTGTACCTGTATTTTCTTTTTCTTTTTTTTTGTATTTATTTAACCAGACTTTTATGTAAACTATTCAGAATTATTTGGGGTAAAAAAAAAAAGATGTTTCTAACTTAATTTGAACTGATTTTATTGACTGGTATCAACACTTCATATTTTTTTTCATTAAGCAACCGAGTCCCTATCATTATATTGAGTCAAAATATTTTGTTTAAGGATCTTTTATTGCAAACATCTTGTAGTGAATTTATTCAGGATCATTATAGTATCAAATTCATCTCTACCACAATTAGAATAGATGCTCTGAATAAAAATTTATACACTTTTTTGCAAGTTGTAAGTATATTTACTTGTACCTGAAGTCTAAATGTAATGGGAGAGTGTTTGTCCGTGCATGGTGATATGTTTAGTTTAGACTCTCCAAAAACTTTCCCCAATACTTTTTAGATATCCCTTATTTAACGATTGGGATATGTTCCTAAAAAAACGATGATTAAGCGAAATGATTGCTAAACGAGGCATAATGAGAAATTATATCCTGTACAAGGGATAATGAGGAATAATATCCTTGGGATGACACAGTAGCACTCAGAGCGGGTGAGGTTGTGCTGTGAGCTATGTTATTGTTCAACTTGTAGTTAGCTCACACAATTGGAGAGGGGGAGTGTAGTGGGGACCTGCCAACAGTTTGATGTCATGTTCCGTGTGGAGTGAAATGAATGCCAAATGGGAAAATGAAGGAAAAAACATAGAATTTGCTATAATAATAAACTACAGTAAAGTAACACTCGCCAAGCTCACGTCAGAAGCAAAGTCATCATGTGTCCTCTCCAAGACTGTAGGACTAAGGGCCAGCATGTCACTCAGAGTCGGAATATGAGGCTGGAGAGTCTGCACTGTCTCAGGTGGGTGGCAGGATGAGAGCTTTAGGCTTGAAGTGGGTGATGCCTGAGGTGGAAGGTGCTGGGTGCGAGAGTGATGACTGGTCTCGTTGGCTCTTACTTTGGCTTGAAAAACTTGCTGATGGGCACCCGACATTATCACAAAGTTCACTCACTTTATACAATATCACAGGGTATATGAACAGTCTCTACAGTACTCAATGACCTGCAAAAGTGACAACAATAACAGCGATGCACAGCGATCAATAATGTACGCAGCGATAACAGCAAAGCACAGAAGACAACTATCAAATGACAGGTGGTTAAAACTAGTAGTACACGGGTAGCATAAACAGATGACAGTAGACGTGCGCACTTGGAGCACAGTATCTCCAGTTTTTCAGACTACCATCCCAAATTTTTTCCAGTGAGTCGAAGATTGCTAAACCAAAAATTTATGACCGTTAAACAACAAATGGTGCTAAAAAATTTATATCGCTAGGTGAACGATCATTTAACGAGGGATACCTGTACCTGGAAAAATTTCAGGGATATGGAATTTTTCCAGGTTTGAGAGAGTCGTCTTGTTACCCAGAAATTTCTCATCCCCCCGAAGAGCTCTACACCAATTGTTCCGGCTAACAGGGATATCACTGTTTTAACATGTGTATTGAGACAGTGCCTCAGTGGCAATATAATCACAATAATATTGCACTCACTTTTGTTCAAGCTTGATGAGGCACTTGAGTGTCTACAGTATACTGTAGTCAATGAAGCAATGCCTGTAGTACTCATGTATGCTCTCTTTATGCCCCAATGTAGATCCTACTATGTACACCGAGACCTAGAGGCCCTAGACTATCACTCCCACCTTCCTGCCCAGCATAGCTTGGCAATGCCTGTGGTGCCCCCCTCCCCTCCCTCAGTGCCAAAGGGAGTAGAAGTTGATTTGGAATTTTCTCGTCATTTAATCTGTGCTACCCCTAAGCTCTAATGCGCTCTAAAGGTGGGTTGCCGGCATAAAACTACATAAGGAGCCGACTGAGGTGTTGCCACGCTTTGCACGCCAGTCCTTTCAGTCAACCCCATGATAAACTAACACACAGCACCTGTGAGCTGCCAACACCCTGGTATGCATGACCCCTCCCAACTTAGGCCTAATGGCACACCACCACCTCCCTCCCTGCCTCACTAGCAGCATATATGGTGGTAAAAATTATTATTTTGTTTTATGAGGTGATTATTGAATGAATGTCATTAACCCCTTGTGTACGATGTTGCCTCTGAGCTGAATACATTTGTCTTGCGTTAACCAAATAAAATACTGAAGGTGGCCTCCCAGTAGTGAGGGGGTTAAATGATGGTAGAAATGGCTCTGTAGCCAACTGAACAATTATGTGTTGGTTGAATATGCAGTTTAATTGTGAAGTTGGCTGGAAGATGCTTTTTCTATAATGGTGCTATTAATTGGGAGTTGCCAGTTGATGAAATGCTGGATAAGAGATGGTCAATCTGTATTTAAACATAACTACCATTAACCAAAAAAAGGGTAATATCATCGGTAAAAAACAAAATAGGTCAAGTGTTGACATCAAAAAGGCATCTCTCTCTGTGTTTCAACAAAAATCAAAATTTAGTTTGCTTTTCTGTACTGTCTGAGTCACCCACTTAAGTTGCTGAAAAAAAAACACAACGTTGATAAAATATGTTAATTCATTAACCAAATGTGGACACTGGCCAGATTGACAGGGTAGAGCCCAGAAGTGTTTGAAATAGGGAGATGCCTGTTATGTACAGCTCCTCCCCAACTTACAAACTACTCGACTTACGACCACCCACACTTACGACCTGCCTCAGTCGTACCAAAATTTTGTCAAATTACCTATTTTTGAGTCCCAACGTCAGTACACAGACAAAATTTTCGTTTGTAATTCACCTTAAAATGGCTGGCAAACTTAAAAGTGAGAGTTTTTCTGGTACTGGGAAGAAAAAGAGACACCCATTTTAGATTTTCTATGTATTATTTAAGCATTTTCGACTTACGACCTGGATTTGGGTCCCTAACCCCGCCGTAAGTTGGGGAGGAGCTGTACATGATATTAGTCAACACTCATCACTGTCATCAGTATACAATACTATGCCTTCTTTATTGAAACTGCAGTACAATGGAGCATGCTGACTAATCTGTATTTATATCTCTCAACAGTGACCTCCCAATGACAACATTATTCAAGTTTGTTGATGAAGGAGATAACACCAATGATGCTATTGTCCTCATCAACTTCCTTGATGCTTGGAAAAAACTTTCACAGGTATGACTATTCATGGATTATTTTTGTGTTGTTAATAACAGCATTGGAATTTCGCACATGGTGAGACCATAGTTGCATTCTGACTGGCTATTATTCTCTTTACACAAATAACATCTTCATGGCTATTGTGCTGTGCTTCTTATCTGTTTTGGTAATCTTGTCTTTTTTTTAATATCTGCAGCTGTAATCCTTTGATACTTTTAATAAGTCTATACTGTCTGCTTCTTACATTTAGCCTTTCTTTCTTGTTCAGTCATATAATGTGGCTCAGTTTCATCATTCTGGATCTTTATTATTATCTGCTTAGCTTGTTTGTCGAAGTGATTGAAATCATTGCAAATAATCTTTAGAAACCCTGTTAAAGACTGCATATAAGGCACTCAGCATTAGAAGGGGGTGAAGCGACACCCCGGCCAAAATGCTTTTTTTTTTTTTTTTATGGATATCTCTATTTTCACCCTTCCTCTACATGTTGGCATTGGGTGTAACCCTCTAGCTAAAATTGAAATATGGTAGAAAGTCCTTCAAAAATACGGTGTGATTTCGCTTCAGGCCTGGAGCTACGTATCTGGCTGTGCGCACAGTCAAAGAAGGTGGCAACATCCTGTTCAGAGCGAGAGGAGCGCGAGCCAATGACAGCGCGCCTCCCTCGGACCATACCCCATGAGGCAGCCAATCACAATGGATTTTGCCTTGCTAAGTCACAGCTGCTCGGCCAATCCGCGCACCCAGATGCTGCCTCCTTGTTAGTTTTGGCACATTGTTTTGCATGAGGAGGTTCAGTGTACTTTCTACTGCTATTTTTTATAGCTTTTCGGCGTAACAGTGACGTTATTCGTGTTCCGTGAGTGTGAGAGGAGCTGTGCAATATCTGCTCGATATTTGAGCAAGACTCGAGTGAGGCCAGGCCTTCTGGTGTGGGTTCAGGAGCCTATTATTCCTGAGCGTGTGTTTAGTGACGAGAGTGCTCACGTGGACACCCCAGGAATGCTTGGTGATAGAGATAGTGATTTTGTTATACTCATAATACAAAAAGTGACTGTTATGCATCACAAGACCTTTTTGCAGACTGTGTTCTGGTACAGAGTTACGTGACATGCCCTGACGGCAATAGTGATGGTGAAAGTGAAGATAAAAATGATGAAAGTGAGTCTAATGGTAACACAAACAGTGACACTAATGTATCACAACAAGAACATACAGAATGTGAGGAGGTAGAAGTGGACAGTGACGAGACATGTATTGACCTTGATAGTGATGAAAGTGAGCCTGACCCAATGAATGCTAGTGAAAGTGAGCCCATAACTCAGTCTTATAATGAAACTGAACTGTTGCCGGCATCAGTAATCAATGATTTAGTTGATAGAAAATCTGTGTAGTGATTTTTAGAGAGGGCAGAGAAAGACTCTGATCAGTACAGTATGTGATTATGACGAAGTCATTAAAGTTATACGCACTCCTCAGGATTTACGTAACTTCAAGTTATTACAATCTTCAGGGATAATTACGTTGGGGGGGGAGAGGTTAATGGTGGGGGGGATGAGTGTAGTGGTGTTCCTTATTATTACACACTATTATACTTAATATTATAAATCTTTGGCTCATGATATGAACGGAAAGATAAATACTCGTAGGCAAACGAGTTTTTTATTATTATTTCATTTTTTTGGGGGGGTGGGTGTAAGATGAGTGCTGTTTTTGGTGATCTTTATCTTGTTTTACAGTATTAGCCCACAATAATAAGAATATTTTGCAGAAAAATGTGATTATTGTTGGTTTGAAGATCAAACAACTGTACATCACGGGTAGTTATTCTCATTTAACTCTCGATAAAATCTAATATACTATAGGACTAGGCGTGTGTCTATCTGTCTGTTCTGGGCAGCCGAAACGGCACAATCGTTTTTCATCAAACTTGTTGGAAAATTCTTCAAAAATTTGTAGAGTGGAATAAACCTGGTCCCATGTCAATGGTTTCTTTAGGAAGGCATTAATTAACCATTTTATTTACTATGGAAAAACGATGCAAGTCTACGGACTTGGCGCACCCTCATTCGCTGTACGCTAGCCAAGCACGAGCGTTCAAACTTTCACTGGGTTCGTGCCCGCAATCACCTGTAATAACTATTCACAGTAATAACTTCCAGTTTTCACAGTTCGCTTGGAGAGGGATTGAGCTGCACGATAAAAGAAAATTAACCCTCTAGCTTAAAAAACAAAAAAGTTATGGTTGTTTGAACTTCAAAAAACTTAAAATGCGTTTTTCTCAGCTTTTTTAATTTGGCGCTTCACCCCCTTCTAATGCGGAGTGCCTCATATGTTCTACAACATTCTTCAGTGGAAGTCCCTCAGTCTGCATCAATAAATTTAAATGGTGGATACGTTCCAGAACATCAGTCCAGAATACACAGAGAAAGGCTGATTCCAGTTCACACAGCTTAGTAGAAATGTTTTCTGCTTCTGCTCGAGTGTCACTGTTCTGAGTGACATCGTCATTTAAATTGTTCAGTGTATCAATTATGGCATTAGAATTCACCCTGAGTGCCTTTACAGCATCATACCTTGCAGACCATCTTTTGTCAGAGACTGATTTTAACTGAAGCACTTGCATCCCTTTTGAGCTCACAATATCAGTCAAGAGATTCCATCTGTACGTAGAGCCCGACAGAAAAGTATATAAAAGTAAATAAATAAATAAAAACACTTTCTACTATACAAAAATGCCTGAATACAATCCACACCCCCAGTAACCCCCCTCCTGGATCCGCCCATTATCTACCCAAAATTGCGAGTTGAAACATACTGTATTTTATGCGGTATGATATATATTTTTTTCACTTTCTGTATGTAAGATTGAGTGTGTATGTAACTGAGTACAGTAAAGAAAATGAAGAAAATTACATATATGTACAATATTTATCAAAATTATTAGTTGAAAGATAACCATAACATACTGTATAGCTCGCAGGTGAGGAATGGTTGGAAATATCCCCGCTTGGCTCGAGAATTACTTTTTGTGCTCATTTTAAATACCGGTACAGTAATTTGTGCCACAGCATAGCCGGTTTTCGGAGCATTCTGGATAATGGGACACCGGATAAATGGTCCCACACCTGTACATCAAAAAATACGGTGACACATAGATATTGTCCAAACAGTAGCTCTGCATTACATAAACAGCTCCTTCCCTTCTCATAATCATCCTGTGGGTTACACCAATGCAACAACACCCAGACAGGCAGGTGCCAAGCTTGCTGTGACCACACTATGTAAACAAAACACCAGGAATTTAATACCACATAATACTTTAGCTGGGGTCGAGTGTAAGATTTTTTATTTTTTCGGGGGGATAACTAAATAATATGATAATATTGGTGAAATTGCATAATGTTGTATTAACAAGGTTGTAGGTGCACCAAATGCTTGGGAATGGGAGGCAGAAAGCTCATTCCACTCAACTTCCCTGCCTTACACCTCCCACATATAATTCACTCTCCACTTTTTCATTTCTCTTATTTTATAGATTTTTATTATATTTTCTGAATGGATATTTCTATTATATCTTTTTATTTCTAAGTCAAAAGAGATTGAAATGATATTTCCACAGCCTTATCATTTCTTGTGTAAATAAACGCTGCGGCAGCCAGCGCTCGGCTGTGAATTATGAATAAATGGGGCCCCCCAAATTCGCAGATTTTTATTTCAAGGTTCTGTATTATTCGCGGATGACACTCTGGATGTACCCAATAATGTCTCTGGGTAGTTTTAAAGTTGCTGGTATTTTTGCAGATGGGACAGGGAGCCATTCGTTCTAGAGACAGTAATTTCCTTAACCTGTATTATAAATATGTGTGTGTAGACACACACACAAAACAAATTCAAATAAATAATATTGGGAAAATTCTCTCACAAGTTATCAGAAACAAATTTATTAAAATTGTGACAGTCTACCCTCAAGTCCGTGCTTTATTAATAAAGTAATAAAGCTTGGACTTGAGGGTAGACTCTCACTTTTAATAAATTTGTTTCTTATTATTTGTGAGAGTATTTGCTATTATTATTTATTTGTGTGTGTTTTGAGTGTGTGTGTGTCTACACACACACACATATACAATACAGGTAAAAGAAATAATTGTCCTAAGAGCAAACACATAAGGGGAATATACATTTCTTTGTACACATATGGAATGCAGGAGGGAAGGAAGATGCTGGCCCTATGTCCCGAGTGTATATCAGGTAGAGGTTACACTGTCGGGATTTCAAAGACAGTTTATCCTTCTCAGATACACATCGTTCTATGACAAGTAGCATTGCCAAGGGTCTACATTCATTGCTTAATTTAGCAGTTCTAATTTAATCAATATCTGAGCTCTCACTAGTTCACAAGAAGTCAGTTACAAAACATGGATTGGATACACTTTTAGGCCTTGCGGCCATTTCTACTGGAACTGGTATTCAAATGATTAATTGCTTTGTCAGTTGCAACATTTCAGAACATTGACTAACATTCAATGTGTTCATGACATTCTCGGCATTCTTTAAATCAAGGAAATCTAACTCTGGTTACAAGCTGACACTTCATAATTTCACTTGAGGCAAAAACAGTGGATCTCTCAGTTTTGCAAGCTCAGATACTTAGTTTATAGTACAATTCTCACTAAAATTAAATACAGTTGAAGCTTTCAACATAACACTCAATGGATCTTGAATGCTTCAGCTAACATTAGATATACATATCTTATGGCTACACATACGCATTCAATCGTAATTTTAAATTTACATGCTGTAGAACCTCAATAAATTGGACTAATTGGGCAGACCCCAATCCAAAAATGAGAAAGTCTGAAAAAAGCGAATCTATGGGAGTCCAAACATAACCCTGCTTATCTGGAATGTTTATGGAAAATCAGACGTAAATTTGGTTGTTGATAACTGCTTTCACTGATATGACTGTTTCGTACTGTAAAATGTTTACCCATAGTATAAATAGTAGAAGTGCTTCTCCATGTGTACTGGGTAGGAGTGTGTCACCAACCAGGGCTGACCAATTTTATTCGCCTGTGGCAAGGGAAAAATCCTTACATGAGTCCGTCAGGCGAGTGATAATTTTGTGTCATGCAAAAGTGAAGGAGACCTCCTAAGTAGATCCTACAATTTTGAAACGTTTTTGTTATGAACAGTTCTTCGATCAGTCATGAGAATACTTAAATATTGATTAATACTCCTCAGCTGACTCATCAGTGTCCCACCAACACCGGAAAAGATCGTGAGTGGATGTGTAGTGATTAATATTGTACACTTTGAATAAATGTAGATTATTATTGAAAAAATGTCAGCCCAGGCTTTAAGTTCGACACACATTCAACCTCAGAAAAATGGTAAGATTTTAGATAAGATATTTAAAACAATGATGATGGTAATCTTCCCAGAAAGATAGCAGAAGACGAGCGTGTATTGCATCATCCATGTCACACACCAGCCGCACTTCACCACCAGATGTATCCATTTTGTGAGCCACTGTTTCTGCCTTTTAGAATTTTAAAAGATATCCACACACATTTCAAAAACAATAATGAGCAAGTGTAAACTTCTGTGGGCTAATGGATAATATTTAGATTCATCATGCCTGCCAACAAGTGTACAGGAGGCAGGCAACAAATACCAGAACTGTGCACCTGAAGCCAGCGGCGATGGCAATTGTAGAATACTGTACAACAATTATGAATCAATAAGAACCAAGTCAAAATCTGACCTTGACGGCAGTCGGCAGGAGTGGTAGAGAGGTTAGGGAAGAGATTATCTAATGATACAGCTTGTCCTTTTATTTTCAAGTAAAATTACAAATTACTTAACCCTTTTTTTTTGCTGTTACATTATTTATTAGTTATGAAGAAACATACTCCATAAAGGGTTCATCATATGAGAATATAATAATGAATAAATAGAAACAAACTGGGGAACACAGCAATGGTTAGTTCCCCCCACCTTCCCATCCCACCTTCATGACAGGAGGGGGTGAGAGGTCAGGAAGAGGTTACCTTCTGATTTGGCTTGCCCTATTATTTTGAAGTCAAATTACAAATTATGTATTGTAATTTTCTATTATTTAATATGTCATATTATTTATAAAGAAACATACACCATAAGAGTCTAATCATACGAGAATAAATAAAACAAGCTGGTGAACGTGATAATGGCCAGTCCCCCTCCACCTCTAACACATTTACACGTGAAGTGAAGTGTCATCTCTGTGCCTAGGTTAGCTCTAGTTTGGCCTTTATCAAATCTGATTCAACCACTGTACACTATCCCCATTAAAGACAATACCTGTGCATACTCTACATAAAACACTAGCCATCATTTATGGGTTAAGCAGAACAAAATGTATAAAACTGATAAAGTAGATGATGTACTTAAGATGTTCAGGAACAATTTATTTTGAGGTATTTCTACAGAGCAGTATGTTGATTGCTTGGTACTTCAATTTTTAGCTGGATTGTAATCATTTTCTATTTACAATTTAAACAATACAGTACAAGTACTGTATGTGGTTCTCTTCACTTAGCAAACTATACTTATTGTTAACTGTACGAAATTAATATTACAAAAGAGAGACAAGACATTGATGGGGTAGGGGAAGCCATCGTAACACAAGTTTGTAGTAAACCACTTAAAGTGCTTATAAATGAGTGTAGCTAGCGAGGTGCAGTGCACTGGTGGTAGGTATGAATGTGGGACGCAGACTGAGGTACGTGCCACATGACACCCACACACATATGAACACAAACTGTCTGGACTGGTGCACGATTTTCCGGACTTATTTTAAATTCTGGTAAATAGAGGGGCAAGTCCAGAGTGGGAGTCCAGATCTGCCCCCCCCCCCCTTTTAATCAGAAAATTCCAATGCTTTTTCTTTAATGTAGCATTGTACTCAGGCATTTTTGTTAAGTAAAATGTAATTACTATTGGCCTCAGAATATCTCCTAATATCAAGTGTACATGGCTTCAAAATGGTCTCAAAATGCCCAAAATGTTGGTCTTGATTTCAAAACTCCCCAGCTGGGTGGGCTCGCTGTGCTCGCTATTTTTCCCCACTCACCTTTGATATTCCTGGAGCTGCCCCTGAAAGTACCCTGGAGAGTACGTAAAAGGCAAATTCCGATACTCTGTATATAGAAGTCCAATTTATCGAGGTTTTATCTTGGGGGGACGGGATGTTGGGACAGGAGAGAAAACATAGATTTCAGTGGGTGACTCAAGAAACTAGTTATACATGTTTTATGGGCCTTTGAGAATAATTTAAATCCTCTACTCTACAGATAACTAACCTGTACTATTGTGATCAGTACAACACCAAAAGTCATCATAAAAAATTTCAGTAATTAGGATTTCAAGACAAATGAAATTATTCAAAGTCATGATGACATAGGTCCTCGTTATATATTACGGATGCTTTCCTGTAAACCCTCACATAAACTGAAGTTGCATATTATTGAAACTGTCCCAGTGTACAGTGTACTTACCAATAAAAGCAGATTCATCAGCTTGGGTAGACTAGATGATGGAGGTGGTAGTAGAGTGACAACTGTAGGGTCATCAGGGTTGGAATCCATATCAGGGAGTGTGACATCACTTGAGGCTGACATCAAGAGGGCTGCCCTCATCAGACACCACCAGTGGTGAGGGTGTACTAGAGCAGTGTTTTTCAAACTTTTTTTACTGCGACCCACAGCCAGAACAACAATTTGAATTGCGACCCATTAAACCTAAGTGTAATGATATGAAATGAATAAATCAAAGACAAACACTGCTCTCCTTGCAATCGCTTCCTAGACTGTGGAGTGAACATTACAATAACCAAGCCTAAATTATGGTGCATTTATTTTTATTTTCTTATTTATTTTCGCGACCCATTTTATTTTTTTTTCTTATTTTTTTTCGCGACCCATTTTTATTTTGCGACCCAATTTATTTATTTCGCGACCCACTGAAGGGTCGGGACCCATAGTTTGAAAACCCCTGTACTAGAGGATGAGGTGAGGGGTCATGGGTGAAGGTGGAAGGTTTAGGAAAAGCAAGTGGAATGGAAGTGGAAGGCCGTAGGAATTGCAACAAGATGGTCTGTTTTGCTTTTCGTTACTTTTTGGCAAAAATCTCCTTGTAGACTGTAAGAAGATTGTCTAAACCAAGCTTATCCCTTAAACTCCAGGTGACGTTCCTGAACGTTTGCCAAGGTAACCCTGGGTGATGTTCCTCAACATTCTTAATTTTTGCGACGGTTTTGAATGTCCAGGTGGGACGAAATACTTTATATGGGATATTTGTGTAAAGGCAGCTCAAATTGCGTGTATTTGTCTCAAATCTCATGCTTCATGGTCAGTTACTCCGTAAAAAAAAAATTGGATATTGTGAGGGATGCACGTCCTTAAACCTCTCTGATGAGGGCAGCCCTCTTGATGTCAGCCTCAAGTGATGTCACACTCCCTGATATGGATTCCAACCTCATTCCTCCACACCTAAGTACAAGCAAAGGCATTTGCTTGACAGCAGTGCTGTTCATCAAGATTTGCTTTGCTTGATGTGAGTGGCATTGATCTAATATTGGGTGATGAAGACAATGATGGGGAGGAAACAGAACCCAGATGATGTCGAGTTTGCTGAGACAGTGAGGACAGTAGAGACCCTGCCAGCCATGGTGTATCATGGTGGAAAGATATGGCAACTTGGTGCAAGGAATATGGAGTTGCCTTGTACATTCCATGTTACAAAGACTTCCACACAGTCAAGAAATTCTAAATTCAGTATATGTGCACTCTCCCAAAAAAGTATCATCCCCCTTGGGCCTGATGTATTTGGAAATGAACACAATAGCACGTGCACAGCAGTCTCGGTTCAGTTGATATTTCTGATTGTGAGTTGCACCTTTCATTCTTTCTTCTTGCACCTGATAATCATCATGATATCTACAGTATACCAACTATTCTCTACATAATGTAATGAAATAGGATGAATTGTGATACGATATGCAAAATCAATAGCATCATGAGTAACCCCACTGAGCTGAGCTGACAAGAAATGGGTTTCAAGTTCACAAAATAAATGGTCAATGATAGGAACGGTGATGGTGCGATGGAAAAATTCTTTGGGCAGAACTGCTTGCATGTTAGATCTCTTAATTTGTCTTCTATTTATATGAGGTAGTGATGATTTAGTGGCATCATCTGATTTAGTTAAGACAGGGGTTCTGAAACTTTTTTTCACCAGGTACCCCTAGTTATCAGATCATCGACCCGTACCCCAGTACTGAGACACTGAATATAGAATTGTACTACATAAACACTATTTCAAAATAGAATGGCAGTGTTAAAATATATTTGGTGCTTGGAGAGAAGGTACTTTCCATATTATAAATATAACATTAAATTTATATCACCTCATGAATTAAAATCTGGTGAAATTAGTGTACAGTATTCCATATTGATTTTTGCCAGCTCTCAATGTGCCCCCTGGAAACCCTCCTGTGTACCCCTGTGGCTTTGTGAACCCCAGTTTCAGAACCCCATAGCTAAGGTATCAAAATCCATGTACCAAGTGTCACCAACTTAATGTATATCACCATGACACTGTTTGATAGCACAGATAACACTGTTTATTTCTGATTTAGTTGAATAAAAATTTTTTAAACAAAGTACAGTCATGAAATAACCAGAGACTACTCTGTGTGTGAGAGAGAGAAAGACCTGGACCACCTAGGAATAATATGAAAGTTTGGGAATTTTCAAGAAATTTAAATTTTCAAAAACACCAATGTGGAGGTCAAAAACTGCCCTCATCATTTCAGAATATGGTGGGAATGTATGCCTGATACTTATTGCTTTCTTTTTCTTTTAGATTACAAATCCGACATGGAAGGCACCATTTTCTTGGAAAAACATGTTTGGAGGCCCAGCACCCAACAGTATTTATTAAGGGTATTGTATCAACATTTTGGTTTTGTAAAGGCAGCACTGTACATTTATTTTACTTAATTGTACAGGTATTATGTAATGATCATAAATGAATTTTAAGGGAATTTTACTTTGTATACATATTTCAATATTCCGGTTCATGTTGTACTTTTTTGCAGATAAAGAAATTTTATCGACTATTTCTCAACACATGTTTATTCCTCATGTAAGATGGAATTTATATTCCTTAAATAAATTTTCATGATTTTTCTGTGCTTATTATTTTGTAATTCTCTCTTCCTCCACTTGCCTCTGTTCTCCCACATGCCACACTACTCAAACCTCAGAACATTAAATAATTCCCTACATAACAGACATTGTCAACACCAAGGAGGCATCATGCATTTTTTTCACGTTTACAATAGCAATAAAATATTAATGGATACTAGTACTAGTGGGTGTGATTCATAATTGTATGGTGTCAAGTATGGGTACGAATTTCAGGTGTACAGATTCGACAATGAGAGTGTTTTGCAACTTTATACTGTTCCTTTTGTAGTTGTGACAACTTTGTACAGTACTATTTGTTTATATGTGTCATCTATGGATGTACAGTAATTCAGAACTTTATACTGCACCATCTGTGGGTATGAATAACTTTATACAGAATAGCACCATCAGTGGGTGTAATTCAGATTATACTGCACCACCTATGGGTATGAAGTGTAACTTTGTACAGCACCATCTATGGGTGTTATTCAATACTACATGGGTCTTGTGAGTTTACGTTCATAGACGTCACTGTATGGAGTTACAATCTTGGGCTGGATACTCAAAAGTATCTACAATATTGTACCTCTCAGTTGATGCTGTAAGTCAATCCTCAAGGTTGTAAGTTCTCTCTGTAGCAATACTCAAACAAAATATCCACCATCTTGTGATGCCACACATTGTATCTGGAGGCTGTAACTTACAGGACCTTCAGAGCTCATGTAACGGAATAAATCCAGGCACACTGTGTATTTCCAGATTGCATAAACAATATAATCTTTCCAAACTATGATAATCCTTATTAAAGCTGTTGTATCAGAGAATACTTCAGAAAATTGGTTTCAAATATAATTTTAATGGAAAAAATATTTTTAAAAGATAAATTGTAATCTTTTAAAAATTATCCTATAAACAGCAGATGTGTTTTGTTTATGTTTTAGCAGGCAAGATGGGGTTGGTCGATATATATTTAAACGATCAAGCTTTGTGACGTGAAATGGGTTACCAAGATCCTTTGGACCCTAACATAAGTCATGAACAATTGTTGAAGTTCTTCATATATCTTCAGTGTGAAATTTTGAAGCTATGCAAGGAATTAGACACCTTTTTAGGGCAGAGAACAAAGAAGTCACAGGTAGGCTGTACAGAACCGAATTTCACCCATTTGTTATTAATATTTGTACTTCTAAATTTTCATAATTTTTTTATTATAAACTGTGCTACTATCTTCTTAATCATTTAGTAGTGTTTATAAAGTTTTTGATTGCAAATTGTACATAGTATACAGTAATACCCCGCTTTACGCGGTTCTCTTTAACTCGTTTCCACATTTACGCGGTACCCCGCCAGAACCGGAATTCCCACTTTACGCGGGAAGCGGCATGGGCAGGGTGCGCACAAGGTCGCCCAGTCATCAAAACATTACCGAGTTCTTCACCTGCCACCCACCACAGCCGGCCCAAGTCAGTGATAGTGATAGTGATAGTGAGGGTATGGACTTATATGGACTTTGAGGGGTTTGACAAAGATGCCCTGCAAGCCTCTGTGGTGGATAGTGATACAAGTGATACAGGTGAGGGCCAATAATCTGCCCTCTGTCTCGGAACCAGCCATCTTTTCTACAAATGTAAGTGTTAAAAAACCTAATATTATTGATATTTCTCTTAATTATTAATTGTGTGTGCATACCATCATAAAATTAAGAAGTTATTTTTACTACAACGTAGGTATTGTGTCTGAAAAAGTGGACTTTGGGGGTTGGCCCAATCTCTATTTCAATTAATCCCATATGTTCTGTTGTTCCATTTACGCGTTTCCCGTTTTACGCGGGCCTCCGTGGGTTCAATTGACCGCGTAAATCGGGGTATTACTGTATTGTATTTTCCATTTTAAATTTAGTTTGTAATCTTTGTGTGAAATATACAGTACAGTAATAGTTTGTGGAAAATAGGTAACAAGTGTAAATAAAAGTCCTTGGGCTGCTTTTTTCAGAATTTTTGCGTTAGTGCACACAACATTCCTACCTCAAATCTATTATCAAATCCGAGAAAGACATCTAATTTTAAGATAATTTTCTTCTATTACATTACCATTACTTCTATTACATTACAGGGTTCACTGTACAGCATTGGACAGGCCAAGGTCACGGTCAACATTTTCTTTCTTACATGCCTCATTGGCCAGTCTATCAGCACGGTCATGATACTAATTCTAACATGGGACGGAATCCACACAAATTCGATACGAGAGTTGTTCTCATTGGCAGTTATCACATTTCTTTTAATATCACATACAACTTTAGACATAGAACCTGACGGGCTGTTCATTGATTTCAAAGCACTTTGAGAGTCACAGAATATCACCCCACCTCCATTTTCTTTGAGGTAGTCTGTGGCTAAGTAGATTCCAGTTAGTTCAGTTTGTGTTGTGCTGGTCCAGTTGTTCAGCCTTTGCTTGTTTGACACTCATCTCTTTTTCTTTATATATTACAATTGCACAGCCTGTTCTACCTGTGTTTGTCTGCACAGATCCATCAGTAAAAGCATAACATTCACTCGATTTAGTACTCTCTATGTGTCTGTTAATAGTTTCTAGTGTGACACATCTCATTACATCAGTGTTTAACAGGTGATTACTACCAACAGGAGTGTAATTTATAGGAACTGATATATCCAACCAAGGACGAATGGCATTAATGGGTTCGTCTGGGGTGATTGGGACATTCAGTTTCAAGAGATCTGCAACACTTTTATGAAGCCACGCCCCAAAGAGAGTCTGTTATGGAAGGTTAGCGAGACAGTCGGGATTACTTACAAGTAGAAAGAGCATCAACTCAGTTTGAGCTGTAGGTTGGGGACCATTGTTCTTCAAAACTTTGACACAAAACATGGTATTAAGTAGAGCTATCCTCTCAGATAGGGAGGGCAGCCCAAGCTCTTTCCTCATGTTTACAATTCTGGTTGATTTTGGGCATCCTAGAATGATGTACATGGCTTCATTTTGCACTACCTCAAGGCTGTTGAGTTGTTTAGGCATAATAATCACAAGATGGAGAGCATGATAGTCAACTACAGAACGAATGATGTGAAGATAAAAAGTACGAGCATAAGTGATGTTAATTCCATAGCCCTTGGCAACAAGGGTTCTGAGGGGTTTAATGGCTGCATTAGTTTGGCACAAAGGTTGCCGACAAAGTTTGCATCATTCACACAAATTCCAAGATATTTATAAGAGCTACATAGTTCCTGGGGCATGCTGTTAATGTTAAAGTGAAGAGGCAGAGGGTGAGCAGGACGAGGATTGAGGACCCTCGTCTTGTCAACAGATATGAGACCACATTCCACAGTCCTCCGAGCAAATACATCCAGCAAGGATTGGAGCCTGAGCTTGGTCTGTGTCATAATGCAGATATCATCAGCATAGCATATTACAGCCTCATTTGGCTGTACTGGAATGTCAGCAATAAGCTTGTGCATCAGTATTTTAAAGAGCATAGGACTTAACACTCCTCCCTGAGGCATGCCAAGCTCAAATGCTCTCTGTTTGTGTCTTATCTTTTGAGTGAACAAGATATTCTGCAAAGCATGTCTGTGCTGCACTCGGGCTTGAACCCATACAGATTTATCAGTCAATTGATCCACAGCAATTTGGCAATATGAGGATGATCTCTACATCACACTGCTTAGTTAGTTTCCTGGATTTCCTGCACAAAAACCTGCAGAAACGTAAGACATCACTGGCCGTTACCCTTGTTAACTTCAGGAGGGCTTGTGACCTTGTTGATCACTGCACTGCTATCAACAAGGCCATTGCACTAGGGCTGCCCACCAACCTGGTCTCATGGCTCATTGATTTCCTGAGTGAGCGTCGTCAGGCAGTCAGGTATCAGAGTTCTGTCTCCACATTCCAACACCTCACCTGCGGTGTTCCCCAGGGGACGAAGATGGGACCACTGTGCTTCCTAATCCTGATCAATGACGCTCTATCAGACACTCCTCACAGGTGGAAATACGTGGATGACTGCACTGTGGGGGTTACAGTGGACAACACCTCACCGGACTACTCATCGCTACAAGGCACCCTGGACAGTCTACAGGCATGGACTACGGAGAACAAGGTCACCATCAACCACACCAAAACTAGTCATGCCTATCAATACCGCCACCACTCCAGTGCAAGCTCCAGCAGTCACAGTGGGTGCCCATCCTCTCCAGTTAGTGCAGTCTGCCAAACTTCTGGGTGTTACCATAGACCACAAACTGGACTGGAAGGCCCATGTAAACAACACAATCAAGGTAGCCTCGTACCGACTCTACATGCTACAACGACTCAGGTCACTTGGGACACCCACGCCAGAGCTGAGGACTATCTACTTCGCCTTTATTCTCCCCAAATTAACCAATGCGTCACCAGCCTGGTCGTGTTCTCTCAACTCTACCCAACAATGTCAGCTAGAGAAGGTGCAGAAAAGGGCCTGCAGAATCATGCTCGGCACAGACTACTCCGGCTACAACAACGCTCTCTCCACCCTGGAAATGCCATCCCTCAGTGACCTCCACCACCAAGCACTAGCAAGGTTTGGCAGTGGACTACTGCACCCTCCTCGTCATCGCCACCTCCTGCCACCGGCAGTCCCCACCCACTTCGCGCAGTCCGCCACTACAACAAAATTCAGTCCATAAGAGTCCGCTCTGATAGATATAAGAATAGCACCATCCCATCTATTGTTAAAATAATAAAAAACTCCTGATTTATGTACTGTACAGCCCTGTAAATGTATTGAACGCATGACATTATGTCTAAATCACATGTAAGTTTGTATATTTTCAGCCACCGGCTGCAACTGTATTAATAAACCGTTTATTATTATTATTATTATTATTTATTAGGGGCCAGTTTGTCTTTGACTTGAAACATGAGACGATTGAAAACATCTCTTACAAGGACTTTACACATACAGGATGTGAGTGAAATGGGCCTGAAGTTTGGAGAGTTAG